GGAGCCTGATCCCAGGACCCTGGGATCACGACCTGAGCCGAAGGCAGACACTTAACGACTGAGCCACCCAGGCACCCAAAATTATTTCAGTTTTAGAATCTTCACATCCCTTGCACAAATGAATACTCATTAAATGAATGAATGTATTTTTAAATGAGAAAAAAATGTTGAAGAAGGCATATTTTTATTTTCAAATACAGAATCAGATTTAATATGTAAGAGTATCTGTTTAAAACATGCATTATTGGGGTGCGTGGGTGGCTCAGTTGGTTAAGCATCTGATTCTTGGTTTTGACTCAGGTCGTGATCTCATGGGTCATGTGATGAGCCCTTCACTAGGCTCTGCTCAGAGGGTAATCTGCTTGAAGATTCTCTCCCTGTGCCCCTCTCCCTATTTGCTCTCTCTCTTTCTCTAAAATAAAATAAATAAATCTTTTTAAAAATGAAAAATAAAAAATAAAACATGCATTATTAAGTACCTTCTTTGAAAGATATATAAAACTTCTTAATTCGTGAACTAGATCATCAATACAGAAATTAATGAGATTCAGTGTCTGACCATTCTCTTTCCATCACTTGCTCTGTTTATACACTGGCATAAAGCCTCTGGCATTCTGGGACAGAGCAAGTCACTGATAGGCAGGAAACATAAAGTCACTTTTTTGTCACTTTGACAGACCTTGCCAAACCTTATATGCTGTGGACCAGTAGTCTTTCTTCGGTTCTCACAAAGTAGTTTTTTTTTTAAAAGTGAACACATGACTCATAAGCAACTACAGAGGAACTATAAAACAAGCTTAGTAGATTGAAAACATGAAGATTCACTTTATTTAGAAGTATATGTCTATATGTTATATACCTTCTTCACGGCTGACTCTTGCATTAAACACATTTCAGAGACAACAGTTCCCTCAAAAAATAATCAACATTTCCAACCCCTTTATAAAAATGTGCAGGCATATTTTCTAGGTTAATGTACAAATGAAATAAGTCACAAAGTCAGTATGAGCAAAGCATGCGATTCTTAGTTTTTTTGATTTTAAAAGAAAGGGTTTAAACAACTTTCAAAGTGATAAAAACCCTTACGTAACTAAACGGGGATTTTAGTTTCCATGTTTTTAATTTAAAAATTCTAAGGATCCCTTACTAGATTTATTACCTGGGACCTGATTCTTATTCCATGCCTGCTTGTTTACAAATAGTCTAATGTCATTTAAACAGAATTTTCTCTTTCAAGCCACATACTGAATCCACATATCTCTTTTATTTCAAAATGTTATGTCACATAACAGAGGATCTACTTTAACCCACATGTGGGATCTAAAGAGCATGTATTTATCATGAGTTCTAAGAGGCCAAAGTATCACCAAATAGGTTATTTCCTCGAATCTATTACTGGCATTCTAGAGCGGTCTGGTGTTTGCCTTTATGTTCCATCTTCTAGAAAGAACAAAATTATAGCTTTCAAAAGAGCCAATTTTTTATTATACCAACTGCAGCTGGCATTTTTCTTAATACCAGATACATTTTCCCGGCCTAAATTAATGCATTCTGAGCAGGGTGAGAAAGGGTCTACCAGAAATACCAATGGCAAAGAAACCAGGCTCTGAAGAATTCTTTATACAAGGCAGGTGGTGAAACTGATTTGGGCTTATCTGAGGCACCTGGACAGAAAACCTCTCAGACAACGCCCTGCTTTTCTAACTTCACCAAGATAGAAATATTTGTGAGAATTCTGCCTGCAGATTTTTTGGTCACAATTCTAAAAAAAAAAAAAAAAAAAAAAAAAAAAATTAAGTCCGTAAAATACGAATTCTTGCAATGACTTTATTGAAAAGCAAATGATCTGTTTAGATGAGTCAAAGCTGCCACGGATCCCCAGATACTGTGCTCAGGTGAAGTGCCAATGCAATGACCTTCAGTGTAATGGCATTTCATGCTAGCTAAAACAACGTGTGACGGCCCCGTTGCCAAGGGGGAGAGCAGGCATGGTTTTGTCCCCCCCTCAGTAACTATGAGGCTCTAAGAGGAATTTCTTCACCTCTCACACAACCGTTACTCAGTGCTTCTGCTATAGATAACAACAAAAAACCCTGCAAGCTGACCAGTCGCACAAGATAGCTGACTGGAGAAGAAGAAATAAATAATTTCTTCCGGCAGCTCATCAGTGGATACACATATATTGACGGTGGGCCAAGCTTTTCAGTCACACAGTTGCGTTCGGCAAAACTGGATCTAGTGTCCTTTTTGGATGTTTTTTAGAGGGTTGTTTTGAATGTAACTTTAAAACCTAATTACTTCACATTTCCAAGGTACCAGACCATAAAATGGTATGAACTCTAACAGGCAAAATAATCTAACATGAAAAATAATTTTATGCTCTCAGAAGTGGGTGACCTTTACTAACCCACATTGTTTCTTGAAAAATGAGATTGACTTTAAGTGGGTATGACAACTACTTAGGGGTAGCTAAAATATCCAGACCAAATGCTATTTATTTCCCCTATTTTTAAAAGTTTATCATTTTAACTTTTTAAACAGTAATAACAAGAAACACTTCTTTGAACTTTGCCAATCTGTAATATTAACCTTTGTCCAAATGCCCTGAAATTAATTCACGTGCAGCAACCTGAAGCCAGTGCTTAGGAACTGAGCTCTGCTCTCCCTTGGCTATAGTTTTAGATATTAAGAATAGGTGCACTTGCGCTCACGCATGTGCACATGCACACATACACACACTCCTTCACTCACATGTTTTCTGGAACTAATTAAAAGTTAAATGAAAACTGACCAGTGTAAACAGAGGAGAAAAGTTTCAGTTGACGAGACTTGGTAAATACTGTAAAGGCAGTACCTGTGCTAACATATGCAAAGAGTCTATTAAATATATTATTCTCAATTATTGCTAATCATCTAATAGTTGAATGAGTTCATATTTCCAGATAAAGAAAAGTTCACACTTATTCTTCCCTACCTCAACCCAAAACAGTGCGCACATACACGAGACTTACACCTTTATTTGCTTCATTAAAAAAACAAAACAAAACAAAAAACCTGCCAAACAGCTAAGCCATTGTTCTCACACAACTTCTTCTGAGGTGGCATGAAAACCACATTCCTGGGCATGGCATAATCATAGCGTCTGACCCCCCAAGAACCATTAAGTCAAATTCATTTACCCCCAGAGGGCTACACACTATTGTATCCTTTCCACTTTCTAGCCACCTATGAACAATGGAGAGTAATTGCAACTGTCACGGGCAGTCAGTAGGAAAAGTAAGCCAGTGCTATTTTCCCAGTTTTCGGCCAAACCTATCCAAGCACCTAATAACCATGCCCCTAACCAAAGAAAGATCCACAGTTGCTCTTTAAATGCATCAGAAAACAGCTTTTTTGAATAGAACCAGAAGACAATCACCAAACTTATGCTCTGAATGTGAAGCTTAAAAAACTCAAAATTAAAGACGGAACTTCTTTTGACCGTACTACAGCTTCCTGAACTAACCCCACAGGCAAGCCTGAAAGGAGAGCAGAGCTGCTTTCCTCCAAGCTTATCATCACTGCTGCGGCAGCTTTTAAGTCTGACTTGTGAAGAAAACGAGGGAGGGAAAAATGTTTGTCCTCCAATGGAATGAGATCACAAGGCTTGGAACAGGCGGTCTTCTCTGTTCTACTCTCAGTTTTCACTCAGGTCAGAGGAGAATAAAGAACCTTGGAGAGAACACATTCTCTATCGTGGGTGCAAATGGGTTAAAAATCCAACATAATAATATAAAGGATCTGCTGCCTTGGAAGAGAGATTTCTCTGTTCTCTTTAAACTTGGTCTTCAAGCTCTTTAAGACATACAAATTATTATCTGTTTGAATTTGATTCCATTATAGATTTTGGTTACTGAATGTGTTGATTAGCACCCATTCTTTCTCTCACCACCAAGGCCTACTTAATCATAACCTGAATATATGTAAACTTTAAGTAGAATGGATGAAAAGTGAAATATTCAGTCCAGCATTTTCTGGAAGTTTCCAAATGCTGAGATGCTAGTGTCCTGCCTTTCTGCAGGATGCTCCAATGTAGCAGAGCCATAAGAAAGACAATTGCCTTTTTCATTGGGAGAACATGTGCGCATACATACATATGCAAAAAAAGTTATTTATACACATATTTCTACATGTATATTAATATAAATCTGGTGATATTTTAAATATATTCAGCTTCTACCAAAAAATATAGAGTAATATATAACAAAATATTTTAATATTGATGAATAAGTAGTATTTTTTTCTCAAAATTAATCCTTTAGAACTCAGAATCAAGTGTGCTATTGGCAACAAATAGAAAACCATAGACTGCCTACCAGGCTTTGAGAAAACACACATTAAAATTAACTGAAATGACCATTTGATTCTATTTTTATATGAGAAATTAAGCCCTCTCCCACTGTTATTAGTAAAAGTTTATTAAGATATGAATATTCAGTATCATGAAGTCCGTACAGACTTTTTCTCTTAGTTGTTTGTAACGTCTGATTCAAATTAAACCAAACCAAAAATGTTGCTCTCGTTAGTGAAAAACAACCTTTTATTAAGCTTTCTCCATTCATCATTTCTGGTTTTAAATGTAGATTATGTACATTCACACTTCTAATATGTACAATGTATAAAATCATCATAATAGGCAGTTTTTAACCCTGATATAAATACATTCCTACTTACAAGGTAAATCATTAAAATTTTTTTTTAAATGATGAAATCCAAAGCCTTTTGAAGATACAGTGGGGTTATTCTGTTAAAATGACATTCCATTTATCTAATAAGGCACAAACAAAGAGAAAATAAGAACCCTGACACAACCACTTTCAAGCTAGAAGGAAGAAACACCAAAGACAGAGAATAGATGAGGCAGGAAGGGATGGGGGGAGAAGCACTGTATCACTGTTATATCTCAAAATATAAACTTCATTTTCATACATTTTGGATCAAAATAATTGCAAATATATTACCTTTTATTTCACCAAAGTTCCCTGATCCCATTGCAAGAAGTTTGTCTTTCCAGTCCTTTGAGAGTAGCTTTTCAATACTGGGGGTTTCTAAGTAAAGAAAAAAAAATGTAAGCAAATCAACACGACTATCTTTACAATGCAGCTCATTAAAAGTCTATCTGCTAAAAATAAGGCCATCCCTATCCGGGGCCCAGTTCATAATGACTTCATCAACAAACTGATAACTGGGGGGGGGGGGGAAGAATGTGTTTTGTCACCTGCTGTTTCAAAATCATTAGCTTTTTCTTCTTGCGGAACAAAGCCGTACTAATTCTTTATGACAATGGGTACATATAAACCTGCAGTTCATTGTTTTTCAATTTGGTGAACAAATTCCTACTATAATAGATGCTTGTCAATTTCAGGGTGTTAGTCTGCAGTCAAAAAATAATTATGTTGATAAAATGCAGAGCAAAAAAAAGGCAAAGAATTAGCTCTTAAATCTGCTACATGTAATTATATCCCTCTGTGTGTTTACAATTACATCCACTTTATAATATGTGTTTAACATCGTATGGTGGTTAAGCACACTGTGGAAAGATTTGCCAGTACCGTGAACACTAAAAAAAAAAAAAAAAGTTCGTATAAAAGAAGCTTTACAAAGATTGCAAAATCTAGAAAAGTGAGTAATACCTATAATGGAGACCTATTATTTGCTTATTTCAGATTTGTCTCACATTCTTTTAAAATGTCCAGTATTGAGACAGGGCACATATTTTTTAAAGAGCAAGGTTATGCTTTAGTCTGATATTTGTTTCTATATATCACATGGTTTTTGACCTCTTCTTTTGTGTTGAATTTTAATGTATAAGTAAACATAAATGCTAATAAAACTCCCAAACATTAAACTCAATTCCAAACAATGTAATTGTATATTCTTGTCAGCATTTAGATGGGTACACAATTACAATGGCTTTCAATCCCACGATTAGCACTGCATTCAGTCAGAAAATGGAGTGTACTAAAAGATAAGTGTCCCAGTATGCTCCATCTAAATAACAATACCCACACTTAGTATCTGGATCTAAGACATACACTGCCATTCTCCACATTGGTGTTTATGTGTATTTGTGTTTGTTCAGACATTTGTTTACCCCCTACTAGGAGCATAAAGGGAGTACATGTTAACTTATCAAAGGGACCGTCTGGCCTAGAGACCATAAGATTATTAGAAACTGGTTCATTTTCCCCACAGTTAAAATGCATTTTAAGGCGTCATCAACATCTTTGGCTAATGCTATCTACTTCTCTCAGGCCTCCATCTTACAGCCATTGACTGTCAGAGTCACAAAGCCCGTGTGGAGTTTTCAACAAAACAGAGGTGAAATTTCCTTGGAAAAACTGTGACAATATGGAATGCTTTTTTTTTTTCCGGATGTCAAAAACTTCTGGAAAATAAAATAGTGAAAAGCTCTGAATGATTACTGCTTTACACAGTCTATGGTCTATACGTATGGTGCATACACACACACACACACACACACCTACCACAATTACTGTGTACACATTTACTATGGAATTTACTACGGAATGTGTAAGTTGTATTTTTTTTCCTTTGTAAGAAGGTATCTCCATTTCTTACATTTTAAGGAAGACAGATCCTAAGAAATTGCTTTTACTTTTTCTTCAAATAGCCCTCTTTCTGTACCACAGTGGTTTTGAAAATGGTAATGACAATTCTGAGTAATAAAACGGCTTAAATCTCTTCTTACTGTAATCAATATTTCTGTTCATTGAGGCTTTCAAAGTAACTTTAAAATACTTCTGCACGGATTTCCAATGTTTCTACATTCCCAGTAAACACTTCATGAGCGAAATCATTTTTTAAACCTTATCAGAGTAGGTCAAACAAACACCACTGTTTCTTTTTTCCAGCACTCCACAAAAATTCTTGAGTAGCATGTAAACAGGGCACAGCCTATACGGTATTTGCAATAGAGTACTGTCAGTCATTAAAAGCTAACAAACCTTTGCAAAGCAGGAATGCAGCAATAGAAATCCATTGTGCACTAACAATAGGCCCCTGAACCTCCCGGCACCAAAAGCAGACCATTTTACTTTTAAGGCTATTGTCTGCAAAGTCCATGACAAAGCTTTTCCCCTGCAGCTAGACAAAATATTCACTGTAGTGTGCTCATAAAGAAACAGAAGTCTTCTGTCTAAGTTGCAGAGTTAAAGTAACAGCCGCCAGATTTCTGAAACCTGCAGAACATTCCTGGCCTCTTTATTAACTTACATAAAGATAGAAGGCTCCTCCTATACAGAGCCACTTTTTTTTTTTCAAATACCTGACTTTATACACACACACACACACACACACACACACACACACACACACACACATATATAAAACTTCTTTAAGACCAAATAATTTGGAAGATGTAAAATCAGAAACATATCTAACTCGGGGATGCATGTCTGTGGATGAATACAGACACTAATATTTGCAATTTGGGTGAGGTATATATTTTAAATTAGATTCAGTAAACATTTATTGAGCAGCCTATGTGCCCGGAACTATGTTAGATGCTTTTACCTGTCTATATTCTCTCGTTTAATCATAGCAAAAACCTGAAGACTCACATTGTGCTATTATATCCATCACACAGGTTAAAAACAAAAGCAAAAAGAAAAAAAAAGGACTTGTCTGAGGTCTCACAAAATGTAATGGGCAGAGTTGATTTTCTGAAGTAAGGTTTTGTTTTTTGTTTTGTTTTGTTTTGTTTTTTGCCTACAAATTCTGAACTCTCTTGTCAACAATGAAATGATAATGACAGCTACTATTTTGAGGGCTAAGTGCTAAGCAGTGTACCAGGTCCTTTACATGTGGTATCTCAAACTTCTCATAATAATCTTCTGAATTAGATATTTCCCTAAGCTTTGGTTTCTTAAGTGGTAAACAAATGCACCAGTATCTAATTCAGAAGATTATTTTGAGAAGTTGCCCATAGGGAGCTAAGTTCAACCTACTGGATCCCAAAGTCAGGGGGACCAAAAGTCCATCATTTCACCCACTTCACCTCTCTATCTGAACTACTATAAAATAAAGAGCTTTAAGCAAATCCACGTCCAGTATTCCTCCAGCCGCTACTGTTGTAGTTTGTCTCCACCGGTCGTTCATGAAGAGGTGGTTAAGAAATGATTTCACCATGGATGTTAATGAAGACAGTTAATGATGAGTTCACAATGGTCATAATGAACACAGTGGATGCACGGGTACTAATGACTGAATTTCTCTGAAAATGGTAAAGAACCCAGAGAATATAAATGACTAGAACTGTAAAAGACCAAATGGCAAAATCCCAATATTTATAATACACCTGTTCATTAAATGTGTGAATGTGATTAAAGTGAAATTTGACACAATTATGTAAGTGTTACTTCAGTGTTGATGGACTAAAAAATATAGTAGTTATCTATTAAATATCCCATTTTCTAAAATGAGATGTGATTTTTTAAAATATGTGTAGAATTGTATTTTATATTGTGAGTATGTGTAGTATGTTTGTGGACATACTTATTTTCCAAAAGTTCAAATTCTGGGTTATCCATCATTTTCACATTAATATATGCCACAGTTTTACTACAAGCCCCTTTAAAGATTCTCCTGAGAGTTACTTCTCTCCAACATTGAAGTATTGCAATTACTGTCAAAATAAAAACTAGTGCTCCCTATATTAAAATAAGTGTGAGAGGTAATAGTAGCTCTTACTTTTGCATAGCATTTCAGTTTATATAATGCTGTCAGATGCAACAGCATTGTCAATGGTATGCATTGTTATTACACCGTTTTGCAGATGAGAAAACTAAGGCTCAGAAAGATGCTTTTCCCAGCATCACCTAGCCACAGAGTAGAACAGAGGGAATACAGAACCAGGGCCTTTTAATTCAGGGATCTGTGTCTTTAGGGGAAGATAAATACGTACATATTTTAAAATTAAAAAAATAAAATAAATGGTAGGAAATAGCTATAAAATAAATTAGAGGGTGATGACAGATATCCTTATCAGTCAATCCATTAATATTACGATAACTCTAATTGGATTACTTTTGTCTCTTTCTGCCATCAGGACCCTTTTGATATGTTTGCTTGATTTTCCCTCCTCACCCTTGCCTCTTTTGCTCACATATGTTTCTTCACATCAATGCCTATGGCAATCCCCACCAGTGAATGGCCCCTCCAACTGTGCCAGCCATTGTTACAACAGCATCCTGCCTCTTTAGGGCCTGTTCATTCCCTATAACTCTCACTCCTTTTTCCCTTCAGTGCCAAACACTCTTAAGACTGACTCCCTCATCTGGAACAATGAGACCTAGAGACTCATGCCAACATATTGTAATTCTCCAACAAGCTGCCAGTGCCAAGAATTAAACCACATTCGCTCCAGTGCAGTAGCTTTACACACAAGCTCAGGTTTTTGCTTTGTGTTTATGTAGGTTTTTTCCCTTAATCTCCCCTGATCTGCAGTGGCAGAGCTCATTGAAAAATCGAACAAGCAAAAAACATGTATGTGTAATATTTGACTTTTTTTAAACAAAGTCCCCGGAGTTAGGGGACAAATCTACCACGGTTTATACTTTAATTTTGTAGCTTAACCTAAGCTGTGTTATTCGTGACATGTGATAGGGTGCATGTTTAGGAATGGGAGTTGTCTTTTGGAAGGAACAACAGTATGTCTAAACTTCAAAATATATAGCAATACCTCTTCATAGTCAAGAAGTAAAAGTGACATTATGTAGATTATTCACATCGTAGAATCAGAATTTTAAAACCTGTATGGATCTTTAGATATCATTTAGATAAGCATTTCATAAAAGTAATTTATTAAATAAAACACACGACATAAACGGAACACAAATTGTTTGGTTACTTAAAACCAAAACAAACAAAATAAGCATTCCATTGTCATGTTAATCTCATTACATTCCACAAATTTACATTTCATTTCTACAAGATTTAGATCTATTTAAGGGCTAAGAGACTGTCAATCTTTAAGTGAATTGTGGATTATATGGTGTAATTTAAATATCTGACCAAGGAAATCAGT